GTGAGTCCCATGCCCATCAGGTTCCCTTCCAGATGACGAATCTTCTCGACCACCGATCATTCCCTGACAAACAATATGTTCTCCGAAACTCGAGTCTCACGTAACTAGTAAATTATCTATGTACTTTTGTTGTTGTTCTACTGTGGGAGCGAAATCCGCGCAGGGACTGAGATTTATTTTAAAATTTACCTCACGTGTTTGTCAATAATAAACAGGTTGAAATCACTTGAAAAAAAAATTACGCGGTTGAAAAGAAGCCCTCGTGGACTGCATGTTGGGTACCCGTGCAGTACGTATATATGGGCGAGAAAAGGTGAGACTTTCAAAGGATCACGAGCGATTCAAAAATTAAATTTACTGTACTGTACTGTGTACAAGTATGTATGAACGCTTATTCAAAGAGGATGATGCTGTACAGTTTTGTGCGGCTTAAAACTAACCGGGAAATTAAAAGCAAACTTCTGTGAGGTGAAGGCTGGTCAAATTATATTTAGCGCCCAGAAATTTAAAATTTTTGAGGGACAAATTTGGGGCCGGAAGGTTTTTGCTGGTCTGCTCCACGAAAAAATGCCCGAATTTCATAAACTGAACTTTAGTAGATGAATAAGGTACTGTACATAATCGTACTGTACAATAAGCATAATAAGCATACGGTCCATTTCTGTACGTCAATGGCTTAGAACTTACTAGTATTCGCCGAGACGATAATTTCCCGCCCAAACACTGTACCGTGCTGCACGGAATGTACAGTGCAGTAATCTCTGCATGATGCCAACTGACCAAACAGGCTGCCGGAAGTTCAAGACAATGGTGAAGAAGCATGTGGGCACGTACACGCTGATGGCGGTGAACGGGTTCGGGGTCGACGAGCGAGTCGTCAAGGTGAACGAGACCATCTTCAGTGCGCCGGTGTCGGAGGAGTACCCCTACACTAGCCTCAACAACCCCGACGACGCCTTCTTGCTGCGGAAGGCCACGGACGCCATGAGTCCAGACGACGATGAGGTGCAGTACATCTGTGCTCTGATGGAACATAAAAGAAACATTTTTCTCGATGGACTTTCCCTTCTTCTGCCGCACTTGGTTTCCCCGAAATAACTTGAATGTTTATACACCTGCTCCATGTTAATACCTCTCTCCGTGTACAGTAAATGCACGGAAAGTCTAGGACTCTAGTCTATATACCGAGGCACCCCATCCGGGGAGAAGGAATAGGCAATTCCGAACAGAATGGCATTGCCTTCTTCGAATGGGCCAAGAGCATTTCATAAGATGGAGCGAGTACAATACAGTGAGACCCCAAAATTCGGACAACTCAACTTAGGGACACTTAATATTCAGAGAAGGTCCCCCGGCGTCCGGACAGTGACTCAAGATATGGACACTTTTCCAAGATTTCTTGAAAATTGAAAATTTTTTAATTTTGTTCGTATTTTTAGTTTTCTTCCATCATGTGTGCTCATATTATAGCAAGACTTGTTTTTGTTGTTTGCTTCTTGAGCTCATTCTGATGCCAAAAGATCAGATTCTGTGTGATCAGTTTCTGTTCATTGATTTTCTGTAGCGTATAATGTAGTACAATGCATAGAAGTTTAGAAAAACTATTTTATTCTGTTTCTTTGGAGGAATTATTTCGTACGGAATACAGTATCCGAGTTATTTCAAAATTCATTTCTGAATGAATGAACCTTGATTGCTCCAAATCCTGTTCCATATCCTGATTTCATCGGAAGAAAATCCGGTTACTTCGATTCCCTGTACAGTAATTGTCGACGTACGATGAGGGAATTTCCGTGACTGGAATTACGAACTCATTTGTGGATAAGAAGCTGCGATGAAGACGCATTTCACGCATGAATATACGACCCAGCCTAAAAATGAAAAAAAGCAATGCATCAGTCTTGAAAAATGCATTATTCTTGGATATTATTATGAGGGAAAAAGGTGATAGCAAGTTTGGAATTGCCCATTTTCTTAGATTTCCCCCAACTTCCCCGTTCGAATTTCATGATCTTCCTTGTGAGTACAGTATACTAGCTTTCTAACAAAAACAAAACCTTTCTAAAAAAAATTACAGAAATAAAAAACTGTTCTAATAAAGTAGAAAACGTGAATGAATGAGAGGAAACACCATATTCCCGAACGTACGCGTCATGTCCCTGCATCCGAGGAATATTACTTGAATACTGTAATGCATACTGTACATGTTATTACAGCAGCCAAGGTTTCAGTTTGAAAAAAAAACAAACAAAAAACTCCATCGTATTCGAGACATCTTATTCCATCTTCCATTCCCTCGTATACCCGTTTAAATGAAACCGGAAGCACATTTTTCCCCGATGATGACCATTGTGAAATAAGTCCTGTTTCTCGTCTTTTTTTGTTTTTGTTGTTGTTGCAGCCAAGACTCGGAGAGAGCCCACCGTTGGTCAAGGGTTTGGGCTCGCAGCCGCAGCACGCGAGCAAGGCCGGGTTCGGGTCGCAGAATGCAGTTGTGGCCCTCCTGGCAGTCGTCAGCGCCGTAATTGGCGTCTCGACCTGCTACCTCTGCCGCCGGGACCCGATGGGGGTCCTGAAATCCAGCCTCACTCAACGGTGAGACTCGTGCCCGCGCTGATTGCCTTCGCGTCCGTTTTCATCAGTCCGAAACATTTCTGAGCGATTATTCACGATGACGGCGAAAGCAGCGCGTTATTGCCTGAAAGGAAACCCTTGTCTGGAAATCTTTTCCTGGAACCTGAATATGTGGAAATCTACTCAACGTTTCCAGACTCGGGATTATCTCAACAACGCAGGGAATTATTTTTACACCAGAGAGAGAGAGAGGAGCGCTTGGATTTTCCTGCGTCTCAAGACGAGGCCCTTATTCTTACAAATTAAATTGTAAATTGCACAGGTAATAAAAAGAAAATCGAGGCCGCGAGAATAGAACCGTAATAAAAGAGAGGAGCAACCCTACTCTAAACGGGAGTACAGTGCAGTACAGTACAGTATTATAAGTCGACCTGGAATTTGTGGGATCCTAAAGCCCGAAACACCGCATTTGCAGGATATCGGCCCCTTTCCTGTCGCGGATCCCGAGACAAAGGAAAAATCCCTCGGGACAAACAGAGTCATTCTTAGAATTGCGTGAGGCTTTGACCTTTCTTCCGGTTGTTCCCGGCGTCCTTGGACCTATGACGTCTTGCAGCGTTCACATGGGAACGGGGGCCCTTGAAGGACGGCATGAATAAACGAATGATCCCGTCAAAATAAGGAGAAAAAGCAGGGAAAAGCGACGGAAAACATCAAGGGGAACAACCGCGTTCATTCCATCGAATTAAACTCCCCCGGCGAGATTCCAGGGCTGAATGCAACGGTTGAGGATCTCCTCAGCAGGGATTGTTTTTTTTCTTATTTATTTTTTCTCAGAAATCCGACAGTTTGGTAGAAACTCTGACCCCGACCTAAATTTTCTGACGACCAGCAGCAAGTCCAGAGAATGCACGCGATAATTCCCTCACAGTCTACTGTACTGTACTGTACTGTACTGTACTGTACTGTATTGTATTGTATTGTAAGTTCGAGGGGGCCCTGCTTCATGCAGTCTTCATCACATGTGCGCGAGCCCCATTTGAAAAACCAAAAAGAAAAGAAGTTGAAATCTTCCGACGACTAGAAATCTGCTGTGCAATTAGTTCATCGTACAACATGGCAAATATACAGTATGCGTGATCCCCGGCATGCTGAGTTGACTTCGACCGTTTATTTGTGTATACAATACAATGCGCTGCAACGATGGGATATACAGTACGCAATAAAGAATCTGTCAGATACCGCCGATAAACATCAGTAGTAATACAGTATAGGAGTGTATTGTACTGCACTAACATTATGATGCCTGACTGCTGGCGGACGCGCATGTCTTGAAATGACACTGTGACAGTACTCATTTGTGTACCGTATTTGTACTCTGTACTGTAAACCCCCCGAGAGCAGGGTGTCTTCGGATGAGACGACGACGCCGCGTCCGTTTGGGCTCCTCTACGGAAGTCGGACCGACGGCGACCCCGGGATCCCGCTCCAGGACAACCCGCTCTACGTGTGTCGCCGCCCGTCCGCCGCCAACACGGTCGAGACCGGCTCCACGGCGCTGCAGCCCGAGGCGTCCTCCACCGACGATCGGGGCGCAGAGTCTCTCGTCACTGAGACGCCGCGAGGCACCCTGACCGTCATTTCCCGGGAGCGGCTGCGAGTTAAACACGAGATCGGCTGTGGCCACTTCGGCAAGGTGTGTTTGGCGGAACTCCTGCCCGACGCGGACAAGACCGGCGTTGTCGCCGCCGCCGCCGCCGCCGCCGCCACCTCCGCCTCCGCCTCCGCCTCTGCCTCTGCCTCTGCCTCTGCCTCTGCCTCTACCTCCGCCTCTGCCTCCGCCATCGTTCCTGTGCCGGGCCTCGTGGCGGTGAGCATGAATTAACACCTTCTTATCGGCGTCAGACAAGAGTACAGTACAGTACAGCATTGCATTTATTAGTTCGACTCATTTATTGTTGAAAACGTATCAGGGAAAAAATAACAGTGCATTGGTGCATTTATGAGTACTGTACCCTCTTTAGCTTATAATTTACTGTTCACCGAGGACTTTCTTTATTTCATTTATGCAGTATCAGCAGTCGGTACTGTTGTCTTTTATTTGGATTTCCTTTCAAAATTCGGCGGATGTTTATTTTCGTCTTTCCATTTCCCACGCGTCGTTCGAGCTGTAACGCAATAGAAAGAGTCGTGCTGTGTTGGCATCATTAAAGAGAGACGAGGTTCAAAACCCAGGTGCTTGGCTGGTTAATTGAGGAGTTTTGAGGAGCCGTTTAGTTTTTTTTTTTTTGCTGTTACGGGCACTATTATGTTTTCTTTTCAAAAGCAGTTCCCATCGTGCCCGCCCCGAAAAAAAAAAAACGCAAGAGAGAGAGAGAGAGAAAAAGAAACCGAGTTGAAGAGAAAAGGTCGTGATTATGTCAATAATGGGTTGTCCAGTAGAGTTCAGTGCAGCACAGCACAGCACAGTATTGCCTCGAGTAATAATTCTCCTCCGCCTGTCCGCATCGCAGGTGAAATTCCTCAAGAGCGGCGCTATCCCGCTGCAAGACCTGGAACGCGAGGCCGAGCTCCTGTCACGCATGTCGCACCCCAACATCATCAGGATGTTCGGAGTCACTTACTCCCTCAGCGGCACCCTGGAAAGCATCATATGCGAGTATATGGTGCACGGGGACTTGCTTTCCTTCCTCAAGTGAGCTGGCCTTCGTAATTCTGAATGGGAATGATCCATCCCCCTTATTTCGTTTTTTTTTAAATAATATAGAAAATAAAGGAGAAAAGAATCCCATTTCTCCATTATGTGCTAATCTTTGTATGGGCGTGATGTTTTCGGAACGTGCTTGAGGAATGTTTGATCGGACTCGTGAGTTTCCCTAGCTCTTCAACTGATGAAAATCCGCTCTTTCATCTACTGCAGACGGAAGGAAGGAAAGATGAAAAAATCTTTGGTCAAGAGAAGAAATGAAGAATAAAATCCATCTCTCTCTCTCTCTGTCTCTCGCTCTCTTTGGACCACGGTAATAATGCATCTCTTCTTCTGTCTGACGAGCTGTATTCTTGGCTGGGGGATCTCCGTAATAAGAGGGGTTACACGTTAAAGCGCGGACTTGCTATAACGAGAGAGAGAGAGAGAGATTAAATGAGGGCACCTTTTTTATTTGATTCTCAAATCAGCCATCGTCGACGAAATAATGGCCGGCATTGATGGGATAAAATCAGACATTGTTCTTGCCTATTTATGTGCAGGATTCACAGACCGGATGAATCCTACCTCACGCCCAGGGAATTCGACTCGTGCTGCTACCACGGAGAGGACGACGTGAACAAGTACTTTTTCGGTACTTACGAGTGCGGGGACGGAGCCTTGTTCGAGGGGTCGGTAGGAGCCGAGGGCGGGGAAACGGACCGAGAACCTGTCGGCGGAGCAACTCGCCTGGTTTCCGGTACTTCCGCGGTGAAGCCAGTCAAGGATCTCCGGACCCTGTCGCTCGAGGACCTGTTGGACATCGCCATACAGGTTATATGCAATTCAGTGCAGTGCAGTATTGTATTCCTACTATACACCTACAGTAGCATCCCAACCTCGGGTTACGCGAGGATATGCCGTTCTTCATCCTGCAGCCACACTTTTGTGCCGACTATAGCTTTCCTTGATATATCGAGGAGAGGAGAGCAGCAGAGCACAGTACAGTGCGGCACTATACAGGCTTGTAAAAAAAAGAAAAAAGAATACAGTGATAAAAAAAAATTCAGGGACTTTCTTGTCCTGTGTTTCACCGACTCTCCTCAACTTGGAATTTCCTCCCGCCTTCGGATTTCGTACCTTCCGCGGTGACAATAATGTGAGATTGCGAAAACGCACAGACTGCATTAACTGCAGTGCAGTACTGTATTCACATCTTTTCTTTCCCGCTCTTTCTTTATTTGTGCAGCAGTGACGAGAGGAAACGAACACGATAGTAACTGAGAGCAGCATTCCCCTCGCTTGTGCACTGCTCATCTAGTCTAGACTCCAGATTTCTAGAGTATCCTGCATGTACTCGTATTTATGGAAATGCAGTGCCATGGATATTAATTGTCCCCTGATCTGCGCATGTCACGCAGAAAACAGGATATACCCGCATATCTATTGAAATTTGAAAGTTTTCAAATTCAATCAAAGAATGCTGAATTTTAATTTTAATTTCCAGGCTGTTTTCTTTACCACACGTGAATGACGCATGTACAGTACAGTATATGCATTTAGTATCGATTGTTTCCTTAAAACCTAATCATAAAAATGAAGCAAACCTTGAAAAATTACACTTGGAGCTGCTATGTATTTTATACTATACTGTAGTACTGTACCGTACTGCAATCTCTCATCTGCTCCTCGTGCCACATTTTATGGAACGGAACGTCGGCATTAGGACTTGGGGGTTTTTTTTGTGGCGTGGCAGGTGTCGCTGCTTGAAAATGTCGTCGTCAGTGACGTCGTACGTTTCCCCCTCCAAGCTACCGTATATTTAATCCCGTTTTCCGCCCTGAATTACACCACAATTTGTCCGAGAACCATACGCAACGCAATACAGGGCAGGGCAGTATAAATTCACGCTCGTACGCAATGACCATGTCCATATACTGTACTTATTGTAGGTAACCCAGGGACTGCAGTACTTGAGCGAACAGCACTTTGTGCATCGGGATCTGGCGGCTAGGAATTGCCTCGTAGGCAGCGACATGGTGATCAAGTTGTCCGACTTCGGTCTGTCGAGAGACGTCTACTCGTCCGACTACTACAAGGTCAGCGGGAATGCAGGGGCGGTTCCGGTCAGGTGGATGTCTCCGGAAGCAGTGCAGTTCCGCCTCTTCACGCCGCAGTCGGACATCTGGTCCCTCGGCGTCGTCTTCTGGGAGATATTCTCGTACGGACAGCATCCGTGGTTCGGCTACTCCAACGAGCAGGTCAGCTCGGGTTTCAATCATCTACTGTATTTATTGCGCTGTGATGACCAGCATGCAGGGAGATATATCTTGCTGGTCAGATTAGGCCAGAAGAATAAAAAAATAAAAAAAGCATCGCTGTTAATGATGAGATATTAATTCGCTGCTGCTGCTGCTGCTGCAGGTTTTGAGGTTTCTGACGAACCACCAAGTGCTGCGGTGTCCCGAGGGTTGCCCTCGTCGCGTGTATACCCTCATGGAAGCCTGCTGGAAGATCCGACCCGAGAACAGGATCACGGTGGACAAGATCCTCGAGGCCCTTCACGACATTCGACACCAGGCCGCCACGTACTTGGAGATCCAGTCCAGCGAGTACAGCATCCAGTTCCTGCCGAGCATCGCGTTCTACAAGCCGGAAGCCAGGTCCTCGGGCCTCGAGAAGAAGTCCTACAGCCGGTCACTCCGAGGACTCTCTCTGGATTGATGATGACCTATTATTCATACGATCCAATCAAAGATTGATCCCCTGTAATGATACCGCACCCTTGGAAATTGAGCTTTTCATGAGATCGAGTCACCGGAAAGTGACGAAAAGCTACCCATCAGTACTGCCCTTAACAGTACATATATGTACAGTTTATTGTTTCAATGTACAGTACGTGGGGTGACACGTTTCCACGCGGACTTGAGTATATCTTGAGTTCCTATAGTCAGTTATTTGGACATCTCTCTCTCCCCCTTCCCCCCCCCCCACAGTCCTTCCGGAATTACTCTTCCTTTTTTTTCTTCGTAATTTCCCTGCAGGATGGAAGGGCACAAAAGCGGTACAAGTCATGTCGTATACCATGTCCTCTTCCCCGCGGCCTGGACTGAGAAAGGGAGAGAGTTTCGACTTGTCATTGCTACAAATTTTGTCGTGGACCAAAGTCATTTGCTGCAAGCCGGTTGCTAAACACGGGGGAGAAAAGGTCCAAACCGAGAAAAAGGTCTAAATAACTGACCAGCATGCAGGAGCTCAAGGTATAAAGAGGTCTGTCCGCGCGGAAACGTGTCACCCTCGTGCCACAGTATTAATCCTCTTCCAGCAGTTCGCTGATGCGCACTCGCAGAAACTCTCCGCTTGTGTACCGTATAGCGTGTACTGTACAGTACAATGTGCAGTCTCTGTGTCTTGACGGACTTCGGTCCAATCTCGCATTTCCAGTTCCTTCATCCCTTTGATGTCATTCAAACCCGCATGGTTCCGTTGGAAACGCTCAATGTTTTTTTTCTTCTTCTTCGAACAGCGTGTGCGTCAGATGCACAGGTTGGAATTCCTTCTTTTTTGATGTTTTGATTGATCGTTGTGAAGTGATGCGAGTGAATCCCAACCGGAAGCTAGGATGCCGATCGATTGATTTGTACTCGTCAGCGGTATTTCTTCCTTGGGTTTTTTTTAGTTGAAAGACAACGGAAGTGAGGGAGGAAGCAAGGAAATCGAGCGGAACAGAGGCGCTTAGGGAAATTCCAGGCCACCTGTTTTAATTGTTGGTGTTTAACCCAATCCTTCGGGGGGAGTTCGGTGTAAGAATCCCACGAGGCAGCAGATTTCAGATGCAAGGGAAACCGCCTGACTTTCCAAAAAATTATTCTGCGGTTGTTTGAATGAATCCGACAAAATTTCCCCGCTCTATTAAAAAAAAACAGGAAAAAGAACACACGTACAGTATTGTACTGATGTACTCGAAAGAATTCTCTGTGCATCGTGGAAACTATACAGTACTTGGAAATTTTCAGAATATTGAACTCGTGAGCTTACAGAAAGTCTTGGGACTCAGTAAAAAAAAAAGAAGGAAAAAGAAAGGTATTGGAAAAAATTGCCTTTGTCCCATAGACACTTTCAATGTATGATTTTTGGATATTTTTGACGCCAAACCACCAGATGTGTTACTTTCCATATCAAAGAAACCCAGTACGACGTGTGAGTGAACTTGCTTCGTTGGGAAAATCGAAAAAGCTACGGATCATTACTTTTTTATTGATCTCCCAGAATGCTCTTTTTGACAAGACCTCGAGATAATTTTACTGCATGCAGCTTGATATTGTATTTGCTTCCAGTGTGACCGAGATTTGTTTTGGATGACTTTGTTGCTTCACGGTGAAAGACTTGAGAGGACGGAGGTTTATGTCTTCATACGAGAAAAAAAAAAACCAAAAAAACAAGGGAATTTCAACGCGATTAGAAGGTGTGATGTGTCAATGATGTTTTTGTCGGTGTTAAATGTGAACCCCGGAATGAACGGAAATGTGAAATATTCAGAGCAGAAGACCCGACTGCTGTTGCCAACATTCCAGTTGATGACGACGTCACAGTTCGCTCGGCTATACTGTGAAATTTTAAAGACAATTTGAATTTTTCTGGTTTTCCCTGACACGTATACGTCGTACTGCTCAAGGAGCATTAAAGGTGTGTTGATTTTTCGATCTTTCCGTTTCGTTGTCTTTGTCCGCATTCCGCAATCACAGCCATCTTGCGCAAGAAGATTCATCATCAGGTGTTGTTGGGGAAATGCTGGTTGAGTTTGCGTTGCCCATCAGCGCCCTCCGCCGAAACATGAACCAATTGCCTCATCACAATTTCAAGAAGAAACGGAGGATTTCTCTCGTACGAATGTGTTTATAATACCGAGTTCCATGAGCGTGGGATTTCCCCATAAATATCTGCCATTATAATTCAACCGATTTCCTTTGATTCTTTGTTCCATAAATCCGTCACTTGGACGCGCTGAAAAATATGATCTACGAGGAATTAACATGCTCGAATACTGTATAGTCGATCGAAACACACGCCCACTTGATAATCTCCCTGTCCCTCATGGACTGTTCAACAATGCATCAGCAATTTCTCGTCATTCAAGGAAATGACGCAAACACCAGCAAGAATAACTCTTCGGGCCTGGACCAAAACCGAAGAAGAGAAGAACGGGAAAAAAATAAAAATAGCCCACACGAAGCAAAAGATTCCCGACTTTTCTCGCTTCATCGTCAGCAAAAACGTACCTGTGGAATCCAATAAAAGTTCAACCAAGTCCGAATAAGATAATGGGGGCTATTTTCAAGTTATTGCTGTTCTTGCTGATGCTGGGCAAAAAAAGAAGAGAAAAAAGAAAAGAAAAAAGGTGTGGTGGTGGTATCAGCAGGGCTTGTAATGGGCGTAGAACGGAGAGGAGCGGTCGGCAATCGGCGGGAGCAGGATCCGAGGCACTGTCCTCGGGGTGTCTCGCGACTTGGCGACCGTCGACGACGACGGCGAGCAACAGGCCGGGGAAGGCGGCGTCGATGAAGCAGCACTGCTACTCGCTCTGACGTGGCTCAAAGAATGCGTCGTGGAGGAGGACGCCGCAGCTGATGACGATGACGACGACAACGTCACTGCGTTCATTCTGCGAAGGATGGCAGACCGTCTCACGGACTTGTCTCGCAAGCTGCGCCACGGTCCGCAGTCGCTGCGGATGCTCGAGTCCAGGATGTCCAGCACCTGTTCATACTCCTCGTCCGACGTTCCTCCCCGGCCGTCGTCTTCCTGCATATAACAACCCACTCTCCATTATTACATGTGATCGGTATAGAGAAAGAAAAGAAGAAAAAAAAAACAACCTCGAACTACATATAGACGGGACGAATGAAAAAAAATGAAATGATAAAACAAGGACCCATCCGCCGTTCATCATCACCTGCTCTTGAGGCGGTGGCAGGGGATTGCGCAGGAATGCTGGCGCAGCCCGGGGCAAAACCGACACGGGCTCGGACCGGGTCCGGTGCCCGCGGGTGACGGCACAAGTAGGAGCAGCAGCAGCAGCAACGGGAACAGCAGAGAGTCCGACTGGTGGGTCCTGTTTATTCCTCCGGATCGCGCCTGGCAGCAGGGACGGAAGGGCCGTCGTCGCGGATCCGCCGCACGTCCGGGCCATTGGGTGCAGGGCTGCGGTCAGGCCGAGGGTCTTGTCGATCAGCAGCACTTGGTTCAGCTTCTTGTGCTTGGAGCCCTGCAGATCCTCCGAACCTCTCTTCACGCGCCTGGGAGGAATATGTACGAAATCGAATATCGTACGTCCAGTTCAGCAAACGAGTACAGTACGTATATACTGTACTGATGTACAAGTGTGCAGTACAGCGCATTAACTTTTCAATCGGAATGCAGGGGAAACCAAGATTGGAATGCGGCTTTTCGTTTTCTGTGTCCGAATCCTGTGCCGGGCGACCTTCAGCAGAAACGTGCCATTTGCCTATCATTGCTGTCTAGAAAAGAGGGGACCTTATTCTCATAGGCTTGGTGTCTCATGATGCTACATTGGTTCAATCTTGAATCGTTTGTTGAAAAAATACCCCGTTGGAATTTTTGCGTTATGAATTAATCCGTTCATACCTCTCGTAAAATAATCAGCATAGCGGCTGCGTTAAATTTCATGAGGCGTTACGAATGTCTTTTCAAAGTGAGAAAATGCCAGTACATTGTCGTTTTTTATTTTGTACGAACAGGCGCAGAGAACCCTTTTAGCTTATACTGTACAACCACCGCATGCAAACAGCTAGTGAAATATGCTTACAACTAGCTCTACGGAATACCCTGCCGCGCAAACTTCAACCTCATATCCGGTGTAAAATGGCACAGACACAGGCGACTGTACTCACCATAATTTGAGTGAGACTAATTTCAACCTTGCTTTTGATTCTAAAAAACCCCCCTTTTCATTGGAATGGTATTGCAAGTAAAATATCCAATCTGACGTCTGTTATTGTCGACGCTACTTTTCATTCTCCCGCACATCCCCAACACTTGTTCACGCCACGAGAGACCGTTCTTTCAGCACGCTTCGGTGTCGAAGGGTTCTCGGAGACGAGGCGAGACACAGATACAGTAAAAAATCTAACCCGGATGCACGTCATACCGTACAATAAAAAGTATGGTACAGTGCTCTACAGTGCTGTACTCACAGAACACTAATGCGATTCCTCGCACAGGGCACGCAGAACCCCGGACACGAGCACTGCTCGTCGTCGTCCTTCAGGCCCGAGTGCCGCCGCGGAACAGCACTGAGGCCCGGACCGAGGGATGAGCCCTGCTGCCGTGGGCAACTCTGACCCTGTCTCCTCTGCAGCTTCTCCAGCGCCGAAATTCTTTGAACAATGCGTCCTGCAACCGCGGTCATCGCATGACCAGAAAGCCTTCATTTATTTTCGTTGGAACGGTAAAAAAACGCTTTCCGAAACGGCACTGAGCATTTTGATCATCAGTCAGATGAGGTAGTGAACTCAGAACAGTTCATCTTAGCTGCTTTCTAATAATGCAGCAGCAACCTAATGCAATTTTCGTCTCATCGAACCTGCTTCTTACTTAATTTGTCACTTGGAAAATCATTTGATTGCCAATTTAAAAAAAAATAAAGAACGAAATCCTACAATAAATAAGGAAAATCCTGGTAAGGTAAAGTGTTTCAAGCAGTCCATTTCCAGGACCTGTGTAAAAAAAAAAAAAAGTATTCTTACTGCTGATGCATGATGATGGTTAGTATTGATGGAAAAGACTGATGATGGACTATTGATGTTTCGTGACAAAAAACTGCCTTAGCGCTGCAGCACATTTCTGTGGGGAATTCCTACTACCAAGGAAATTGTCAAAGTATCAGAATTCTCCTGTTCACCTGCTTGTTGCGCGGATGCATCGTGCTTTTTGGCTTTCTCGTCGGCGTCTGAGTCGCGACTGCTGACCTACGAACACCAATGTAAAAACCAGGTTTTCAAAAGATGCTGGAATAACTCGAAATCGAATGCAATGAAAGGCGAGCATCCAAACAAACAACTATGTGAAGGTGTCGGAGCAATTATTAATAGGTTGGAAATACTGTATTCATCCCCGGTTCATAAAGTTGTCCAGTTTCCAACTACTGTACAGTACAGTACAGTACAACACACTCACTGTACGATATGTCTACTGCACCTCGGAGAGCGTTCCGTGAGGAGAGGGATCGATGTCATCGTCCGACAGTGCTGGAGTCGGATCCCTGGAAAGGTCCTGAAGGTGCGGGAACCGTGGAGGATCCGTGGTCATCGACACATGGACCTACAGGAGGATCTTCAGCGCGCCACTGTTTCCGTCAATGCATAATTCCCGCCACCTCAGTGTCCCGCGGTCGACGTCAGCATCGCATCTGAAAATTCCACCAACTTGATTCCACTCAGCAGCCTGCTGTGCTCATTCATTTATTTTCATTTTTTCGTGTGCCTTGAATGAGTCAGGGGAATGAGTGGGAGCTTTTGCTGCAGAAATAGACGCGAACTTGGGATGCTGCGTTGATACTGGATAATTTTTACGTTCAAATCACGAAACACTGTTTAATGGAGTACTGTAATGTACAGCAGTAGTCTTGAAAAGGTTGAAATGCACATGACACCGATTCACGCTCGCACGAATCTTATAGGATTATGCTACGCACTTTGATGCTCATGTTCAACCTTATATTTATTGATTCGATGAGGCCTCCGACTCGTACGACTGCTGCGAGATCCACATTACAGTACAGTACAGTATATTGCCCTTCACGAAGCGAGCATTGCTGGAAGCGTGAGCAGTGCCAGTCATCGCAAAACTGAAAGCCTCAATGCGTCCAGAGGATGGAATAAGAGGCCAGGAAGAGGGAGAAAGAGAGAGAGAGAGAGACACCCCCAGCATACGCATTATACAGAACAGGACGGCGACCTGGAAGTAATTGATGGGTCGCGTGATTACTTTGCACACCGGCAAAGGTCTCGGTCTCGGTCGTTGAACTTTGGCACAGGAATACGCATGTTCCGCCGCAGTTCGTCGCTGGCTTTTCTTTCCCCGCATTATTATTTCGGCCACCGGCAGCGAAGGTGCAGTCCTGCTGTTGCTCATGTTTCATTCATTCATCGGGAGGGGATTCGTTAGCGGCAAATGAGTTGTATAGATGCTTGGATCGCTCATTCTCCCGAAAGAACCAACATTAACGGGAGCTGACCTGATGACGATTGCTGCTGCTGTGATGGACAGTTGCAACAGGGTCTGCAGCATTCATCATCATATGTGCCTCGATTCCTGAAAAGTTTCCTTCTGCGTTGCTCCCATGAATATCATACTAAACTGTACACGAGGTTCACCAATGATGTACAAAGTCTAGAAAAAGGGTGCGTGGTACTTTACGGTAGGTCAAGTAATGTGCCACGTCCGCGCGCGCGGAATAAAATACTCATTGGCTTAGATATTGATTATCTGGGAGAAGCATGTAATAATTTGGTCATTCTCTTGGATATTACAGTATTGAAAACCCCACTCATCGGTTTTTGTGTTTAAAAAAAGGAACTCAAACTATTATTGTGTGGATTCCCAAGATCGAAAGTTTCTTTACCAAGCATGCCTTGTTCACAGAGAAAGAATGGCGATTGCCACTAGCTGGACGAAAGACGCCATGTGGTATCTAGAGAGAGAGAGAGAGAGTTATTCAAGCAACGACTTACTGCTCCGAGATTGGGGGGCGTACAAGCGATGCGAGAAAGAGAGGCAGGTCTCTCGCCACAGTTGCTTAATATACCTTGTCAGCACAAATCCCAGTTACTGGCTCTGAATTATGGCCAAAGATTTTTTTGCCTGATTTATTCGGATTGTATTATCCACTCAGGAGGAGGAAGCCGGGCCATCAAAAGACCCATTCAACGAAAAAAAATGTTTTCCCAATGAAGGTAGTGCTAATCCGGCGATGAGCCGCAATGCCAAAAACGGGAAAGAAATTAATGCATTTCCGCAATGGTCTTGTTCTTACATGGCCCGCATGACGAGGGGAAGCCGGACGCGAATGTTGCAGCCAAAGATTGGCTGAAGATGATCAAGTGGTTATGCACTCTGGCCAATTCGTACCAATCACTATTTTGCAAAATGGGGACAATAATGGTTACCCGATAAAAACAGAGTTCCTTTTCTATTCCATTGTTGTCACAATTTTCTTATGTTCCAAGAGATAAAGGATGGGAACGCAAAATTTACAATAACTTGTGCATTTGAAGTTGACTAACAGAAGGTTTGTTTTTGGCTTCTATCAACTTGACAAGGGACTTTTCTAGATCTTTGTTAGAGATTAAAGTACTGGGAAATTGAAACTGGCGTAATGAATCCATATCCTTGATCAAGGAAATGATGACTTCAGACACCTGGGTCAGCTCAAGACTCAAACTGAGAGATCTGATCCAGTGGTCAATGTTATCATCATTTGTTGCATTCAGACTTAGAGCTAAAGTTGAAGTCAAATCAAACAAATTATTACCTTTGATTCTAAAAGGGGAAGCAAGAGAAATGAGTATTTGCTTGGAGGGAATGACGTTTTGCGTCAATTCCTCTTTTCTTTGAGATATTAATGGTAAATCCAGATAAGAAAAGTCTCTAGGGAAATTCTTTGCATGTCCCTTTAGTTGCTGTTTCAAGTTTTTTATGAGACTGCCAAAATGCAAACTTTTTGTTTTCAACATGTCTAAGGACATGTCAGACATCACATTTGTTGTGGTTTTCTCAGCACAAGCATCTGTAAAGGCTTTAATAGCCTTTGAAATATTCACTGAATGACGGATAAGTAAACCAGTATCTATTGTTGCTTCTAAAGTTCAATAACTAGCAGGGGTGCATATTGGGAACATTTCTTCCAATACTACACCAATATTTCCAGGAAAATTATGAAGAGGGGAAGCTTTATCAAATCTATTAATGGTTGATAATGTTCCTTTCTCTTGGTCAGGAATTTCTTCTATTGTTAATGAATAGACAATTGGAAAAAAAGAAACAGAAAGTTGTATTTGAAAAACAACATTTTGCTCACAAAAATATTCAAAACATATGCTCTGCTCAAAAACATACTTGAACTGCAGGTGCTGGTTTCCTGCTTGCCTGCTGTCTATGTTAATGTCTGTCTGGTGTCCTTCGTTGGGTTGTCCATGGGCTGGCTGGTTGTTTAGAACAAGAACGCAACATTTCTTTCCTTGTGTTTTTATCTCTGTCCTTGTCCCCTTCCTTTCTAGCCTTGCCTCTTGTCCAGGATGGAACAATGTTGCGTTTGTCTAGCCCTTTCATTGGGCCCAATTGGGACGGTTTTTTAAGTTGGCCAAGTGGTTTCAAAAAGTTTTGCTTTGGTGGTTCGGGCTGTACGCAGACAAAAACTTGTTTGTCACTCGCGGTTGCTCCATCCGCTTGATTCTCATCAAGGTCAGTCTCACCAGAACTCACTTGTTCTATCTGGTGTTCTCTTTCTCTGTCTGGGCTCTGATGCTGGTCACACTCTAGCGATGGCCTTGGCGTGCTGAATACGGGTGGCCTCCCTCCCTGCATCACCATATCGGAGAGGGTAGGGAGTGACTCGTTACTCCCAGAGAGGTCAAAGAACTGACCGACTTTGTCCGTGATGTCTGACATCAAATCCTTTGTTCATTTCAGAATGCCAGGTTTTTTCGGACTGGGCGATGGAACTAGAGTTTCATCGAAACTCATTAAATCCTGGCCAGAAACAAAGCTGTCTGTATTAGTTCCCTCTGACACATCTGTTAACTCCATTTTTCCTGATTCTGAAACATTACTAGACATGGGTTCTACCTCCACTTCATCTTTGTCCAAATTTCTAGATTGGGGAGTGGGTAATTTTTGAGTTGAAATGTCTTGTTCATCTCCATCGTCTTCTTCAGCAGATTCTCTGGATGATGTTACGGGAGAGGGTACAGGTGATGATTTCCTAATATGATATGGACGGACATAGCTAATATGTATGAAGTCTGTCCAATCAGGTTGAGCATCATCTTGAACCCTAATTACTACTGGATTGATGACTTTGATTACCGTATAAGGTCCTTTGTATTTGGGGGACCATTTTCTACCCACATACGTAGCTTGTTCATGCCTACGTATCCAAACTATATCTCCCTTGCTGTATACTGTGCCCTTTTTGTAGGTGTTTAGCCTTTCTAGGTAAGAAGCCTGATTTTTTCTAATGGCTTCTAGGGCACGTTTCCTTACAGCTTTGATATGATCCTTCCGGGCATCATACTCTTTGATGTCTGTGAACTTGTCTAGATCCATATAATTAGGGATCCAGTAAGTTCTTGGTTTTAGCCCGGTGACTATTTCAAAAGGAGATGCTTGTAACGCCTTGTGTTTTGACAAATTATGCACCCAAGCTGCATATTTTAATAATTTGTCCCATGTTTGGCGGTTTTCTGGATCAAGGTACAGAGCTAGATATTCATGTAACTCTCGGTGAGCACGCTTGTTTTGACCGTTTCCCTGGGGACGATACGCAGCTGTCGTAATTGTCTTTGCTCCAATAAAACAAGCCATATCTCTGAATATGCTACTCAAAAAGTTTGTACCGCAATCTGTCAGTATTTTTCGTGGAGGTCCAAAAAGACAGACCCAATTGCTCAAGAATAACCTTGCTGTCACTGCAGCAGAGGCTTCTCTCATGGGCAAAAGACTATCTATCTGGAAAGTCTATCCTGTATTACCAGGATATACCTATTTCCCTGAGAACTGCTGGGAACCGGTCCCACAACGTCTAAACTAACTTCCTCGAAACAGTTCTTTGGGATCCCTGTGGTCAAATAGGGAGTTCGATGGGCATCATTTCTATTTTGCTGGCATATGGTACAAGTTCGAATGTACTGTGCCTCATCTTTTTGGAGGTTCGTCCAGGTAAATTCCTGACAAATTGCAAAAACGGTTCTGTCTGTTCCGCTATGTCCCATGGCTGGGGGATCATGGAATTGTTATCAAGCCCTTAATATATGACCCTAATTTCATGAAAGCCCCTGGTGGCCCAAAAGGACCTAGCGCACCTGCTCATTAATGCAGGACGGCGCAATCTCGTGCAACTCTGTTTCTTGTACATGCATATCTGATCGGGACTCAGACGGGCTGAATATATTAGTCCAAACTGGTTGTCCATCCCCTTTCCCCACTTTTATTTGATAATCCCGACATTGCCTCCCAAGTTGATAAAAGCTCTTTCTCTTCCCTATATTTCTTCAGTGGTTGATACCCTCTTGAGGAGAAGAGTACGTTATAGGATATGTATTGATGGAAATACATGATTGATTGAATAAGAAGAGATATACATTTATTTCCACTTAGCAACTGTGTGTTGCTGGTTCGAGGCGCGCCCAACTTAAAGGAGCGAATAACAAAAAGGTCAAGCAGAATTTGGTGATCTTCTTAAAAGTGGGTAAATCAAAATATCATATCAATTTACTGTAAAACCTATTTTGTAAGACAACAAGTGGCGCAGTCGGTACTCCTTTTTTGCGCCGGGAGAGTAAACTGGTTAGACCAGTAAAAAATACCTCAAACTTCACTAACGTGAA